TTCCAATGCAAAAAAAATAAACGTAAACATTTCCTTGAAGATTGCTGTAAAGCCTCAGGCAATCCTATAGTCTGAAAACTTATCTCTAGGACACGGGTGTCAAACTCTATCTCATCACGTGATGTCACATGACGTAGTGACATTTTTTGCTTTTGCAGACCCGGGGTGGGTGTGGCCTGTGCCTGATGCATCCAGCCTGCGGGCCATCAGTTTGACACCATTGCTCTAGAATATGTGATTAAAGACCAGCCCCTGACCAATTCTCTCTTCTGACAAATGCCATACAAAAAGTTCATCCTGAATAGCAATAGCACTTAAGATTTACACACTGCTTCAGTGCTTTACAGTTCTCTCTAAGGGAGTCAGCATATTGCCCTCAACAATCTGGGTCAGAAGGATAGAAGGCTGAGTCAACCTTGAGAATTTTGACTTAGCTTTTTAGGGAAGGAACAATCATACTGTATACAAATGCTAATGTTAAAGATTATTGCATTAGCAAAACAAGTAAGCTGTTTAACAACAAATATACAATCGTCATTTTTTATTCTTCTGTATCGGATTTACTTATTGCAGTGCAGAAAAAGTGCACCACACCCTTTAAAAATAAAGTCAACTTGCAATTTAAGTATTAAAAAAGGAAAAGAATTGCCCCAGTACCCGTATGAAATCTAAGATACTAAGACATCTATTACTGACAATGTATGTACTCTTCCAATGCAAAAAAAAAAAAGGAGACATTTCCTTGAAGATTGCTGTAAACAATCTGGATCAGAAGGATAGAAGGCTGAGTCAACCTTGAGCCAGTGAGAATTGAACTATTCTAACCACTGCACCACCACAGTTTAACAGGTTATCACACATTTTATTATATTCTATTTTTCTACACATGTGCACATATATTGACTAATCAATTATCAACAGCAAAAGTCACCATCATAAGCAATTACAGTCAATTTGTATCCCTATTTTCCTTTAAGACCTTACAATGAATATACAGGTAGTCCTCGACTTACCATTTAGTTAGTGGCAGTTTAAAGTTATAATGGCACTGAAAATAGTGACTTATGACCTTTTTACATACTTATTTCTGTTGCAGCAGCCACATGGTCACATTATCAAAATTCAGCTGCTTGGCAACTGGCATGTCAGTTGCAATGTCCCAGGGTCATGTGATCACCTTTTGTGACCTGACAAGCAAAGTCAATGGGGAAGCCAGATTCACTTAACAGCGTTGCTTACTTAACTACAGTGATTCACTTAACTGTGGCAAGAAAGGTCATAAAATGGGGGGAAACTCACTTAACTGTCTTCCTTAGCAACGGAAATTTTGGGCTCAATTATGGTCATAGGTCCAGGACTACCTGTATCTTAACCTTGACTCAGTAAATATAAGAGTTACCTACATGGCTCCCCCATAAATACTGGATTAGACTTCATTCACTGTTAAGCACTAGACTTTTATGTTATTCTGGTACTTATGCTAGATAATGGGTGAAATGCTTAGAACATTTATTTAGCTACTAATATTGCTCCAATTCAATCCTTTTCAGTATAAAGATGAATGGAATATTTCACAAAAAATGTATTTCAGAGACTGAAGCAAACATGTGTTTTCAAACCAGGTTTTAAAAAATGTTCAAGGAAGAAAGAAAAGAAAAGACAGACAGACAGACATGCAACTGCTGGATATAAATTATTCAAACCTATGAAAAACACCACAAAAACAAGAGAAGGGGAAATGGACAAAAATGGAAGAGCAGGAGAAGTATAGAAAATGGGAGACGATCCAAAGGCAAAATAAGAGAATGTTTAGACTAGGGCAGAAGGCAGAAGAAACGAAACCTAGTAGTACTGATTACGAGCTCAACGGCCCGTTCGAGACAGCCTCCTGCCCACTCCCTTTAGCTGACTATACACGCCGGCTTCCCCACATGGCCGGTCCCGCAGGCCCAATCTAACCACCACCCCCACTTTCCCTCCATGCATGCAGCGCGGTGGGTCCAAGCCGTCCTCCCCTTCCTTTTCCCTCCCACGATTGGATGGCGCGACTCCTGAGAGATTTACCATTGGCTACTTCATTCTCGCCCACCCCCTGCTAAACAGAGAAAAGAAAAAGCCTTCCGTTAGGCTGAGCGCCTCTATGGCGGCTCGGCCCGCTGTGATGCGCGTCTTTTCACACTGGAAATGCCGCACTTTCGCAAACCCCACCCAAATTCAGCTCAACTGCTGTGTTTTCCCTTACCAGGTTCTCGATGGCTGCCTGTTCCAGGAACTTCTGAGCCGCTTCAAGCTCGGTGCAGTCTGCAGGGGGAGGGGGAGAAAAGTACACCAAGGAGTATCAGTGAGGACCCCAAATCTCACTTTCAGCCCAACAATAACCCCCCAAATGTCGCCTCTTTCCAGCTATTCAACCGCTCTTTCTGCTTAAAGTACGCCAACAATTCTCTCCATTCTGCATATGAAGTTTTTCAATCCCCTTGGAGCGTTCCCCCACCGCCCCGTGCCTCATGCACAAACTTCATTTTCCATCAATCAGATCCACACAGAAGTAGGGGTGTCAAGAAGAAAAACACTCCTTGGGGGACTTTGCAAGTACAGTATAACCGTAACCTCACTGGAATAGTCAACGAATTATCTAAATAGTTTTTAAAGATTTTTTTTTGGGGGGGGGAGATACACTCAACATTTGTCAACATACCAGCCCCATTGTCAAATCCCCCAATTACCTATCACAGTCAACCTCAAGGCCACCGATTTTGGCGTACACCGGGGACCTGAAAAACCACCTACATAAATACCGGGCCTTAACTTTCCGAACGGGTGCGCTGCATTTACCCTCATGGAGGCACTGGTCTTACGGTTGGCACCGCGCGAGGCCATCACTTATTATCCCCGTCAGTTTCCGTTCCCTATGTAAGCCAGCACATCTGTGAAGCAGATCTCGGAGGAGACGATTTGCCCCAATCTTCAACCCTTATCTCGTATGCCACGCAAAGCTACCCTCAAGAAGAACTTGTCTTTTCGTATCATGCAGCGAATCCATTAACTTGTGCCCAACGCGTTCTTCCACACACGTGTACCATTACGCTCATCAACTGACCCGACCAATACAGTAAGCGTTAAAAAAAGACCATTTTACGCCGAAGGCTACTTCCTTGCCAGCCTAGCTAGGGGATTCTCAAACTCCCCACCCAACAAATGATAGCATTCACGCTTGCCCCTCCTTTCCCTCCAAACAAGGGGCCCAAACCAAGCACTCGGTGGTTCCTTTATCCCCCAGGCCAGAGACGAAGCCTGACTCTTCCAAAGGCCCCGAATCCTCAAGGGGAGGGACCATTGCTCCCTTCTTCGCCTCTTTCCACACCTCCCTTGATCATTCATTCCCTCCCTTCCGAACAACGGCTTCGGCATACGCCTTCCCTAGAGTCACATATGCCCTATAACTAGATACCCTTCCCTGCCCCCAAACTCCTGACCTCGAAAAGAGATGCTTGCACCCCAACCATTCCTCCCTTAGCAACACATATTTAAGAGTCTGTAACATCTCTTTCCCCTTTACCTGGCGAGACTGTCTTCTCCAAGATAGTAATGAGTTCCATTGTGGCAACGAGGTAACGCTAGGAATGAAAGGAGAAAATAGAGAAACGGAGTCGGTGACCGCCGCCTCGCTCTCCGACCGCTCAATTGACCGGCCGGTCTCTCACTTCGCGCGCTCTTTATTTCTCTCTCAGCTGCGACGAGGCCCCACCCCCGGCGGAAGCTACTCGACTCTCCCCTCCAACTTCCCCTCCCCCTCCTCACAGACAACTCCTTGTGGCGGCGGGAGAGAGGAGGGGTAGGGAAAGGGCGCGCGTCCACTAAACGAGCGAAAACGAAACGATTTAGGGAGTGCGACTCAGTCGGGGGGAGGGAAATAAAATACAAAACAGCGTGCCTCCCGCACAACTGCCCTGAGGGGACACCAATTCACTACTGTATTTTCTGGCGGATTAACTGGACAGGCCTTAGTCCGCCTTCAAGCACGTAACGTTCGTGCGTATGCATCGTGCTCACGCACTCCACTTCCTGCCAAGGCGCATAAAGTACCTCTCCCTCCTTTTCAACCGGCCAACGCCCGCCGTCCCATTCTTTCCACGCTGGTTGGCCGTTGCGGCTCGTACGTCATGAGGCTGACAGGTTGAAAGGAACGCATGGTTTCAAAAACTTTGTCTTTAAATAAGATGTGCAGTTAATTAGGACAGCAATCCTATGGCCTTATACTAGGGAAGAGATCGATCAAGGTAATAGGAATTTGTTTGAGCATACAAACAGTAAAAGATTTCCAGCTTTTTCCTGATTGTGTAATGTCACTATTCTACATTGTTCTTGTATTCATATTACCATGCAAAGTATTTGGCAGGTTGATGTTCTGCGGTATTTTTTATTTATTTTGTCAAACATATATATAAGATAACAGATAAAAGTATAAACATCATTTTGAATACATGAAAACGATAGGAATAAAAAGGGACGGTAGGACAGGGACAGTAGACACGTTCGTGCGCTTATGTACGCACCTTACAGACGTCTTAGGAATGGGGTGAGGTCAACAGTAGCCAGTCTAAGGTTAAAGTTTTGGGGGTTTGGGGAAAGAAACCACAGAGTCAGGTAGTGCATTCCAGGCATTGACCACTCTATTGCTGAAGTCATATTTTCTGCAGTTGAGTTTGGAGTGATTTACCTTAAGTTTGTATCTGTTGTTTGCTCATGTATTGTTGTGGTTGAAGCTGAAGTAGTCATTGACAGGTAGGACATTGTAGCAGATAATTTTATGTACTACAATTAGGTCAGACCGAAGGCAGCATAGTTCTAAATTGTCTAAGCCCAAAATTTCAAGTCTGGTGGCATAAGGTATTTTATTGCAGGTAGAGGAATGGAGGACTCTTCTCGTGAAATATCTCTGGACTCTCTCAATTGTATTAATGTCTGATATGCAGTGCGGGTTCCAGACAGATGAGCTGTATTTGAGAATTGGTCTAGCAAATGTTTGGTATGCTCTAGTTAGTAGTACAATATTACCAGAGAAAAAGCTACGCAAGATTAGGTTAACAACTCTTAATGCCTCTTTGGCAATGTTGTTACAGTGGGTTCTGGCACTTAGATCTTTAGAAATGAGTACTCAAAGGTCCTTGACAGAGTGCGGGTTGTCTACAAGATCATGTCCATCTAGCTTGTATTTTATGTTCTGTTGTTTTTTTTGCCAATGTGTAAGACAGAGCATTTGTTGGTTGAGATTTGAAGTTGCCACTTGTTTGACCAATCTGACATGTAGTCAAGGTCTTTTTGAAGGGTGGTAGGATTGTCGGTGGTGTTGAATAGTTTTACATCATCAGCGAAGAGAATGCAGTTGCTTTTAATATGATCGCAAAGGTCATTTATGTAAAGTATAAAGAGTGTTGGTCCTAAAACTCTGCCTTGGGGAACACCACTGTTAACAGTTACAGGATTTGATAGAATGCTTCCTATTTTGACCACTTGTTGCCTGTTTGACAGGAAGGCAGCTATCCATTTATGTAGGAGTCCAGAAATTCCATAAGATTTTAGTTTTAAAAGTAGTTTGTCGTGTACCACTGAATCAAAGGCTTTACAGAAGTCTATGTAAATTGTGTCCATTACTTTGCCCTGATCAAGATGTGTAGTCCATATGTTTTTGCAGTGTAGTAGTTGCAGATTACAGGATAATTTTTTTCTGAAACCAAATTGTTTGTTGGAGAGTAGGTGTTTGTCTCTAAGTGGAGGGTTATAGATTGGTTAATTATTGATTCCATGACTTTGCAGGTGACACAACATAAAGAGATTGGTCTGTAATTTTCAACTAGGCTGGGGTCTCCCTTTTTGAAGATAGGGATGACTGTAGCTTGTGTCCATTGTTTGGGCAGGTAGCTGGTACTGAAAGATTTTTCAAAAATTATGCTTAGAGGTTCTGCTATTGCAGTGGAAAGAGCGTAGTGCCTTTTCAACATTGTCTTTTGTAAAATCGATTTGTATTAGATCATCGTAATCATTGTAATTGTTTGTAGTATGACTGGGAAATATTGGGTATGTGTTGTTGCTGTTTACAAAGACTGAGCCAAAGAACGTGTTAAAGAGATTGGCTTTAACAGTTTCATCATTATAGTCTTTATTGTTTGGTCCTTTTACGGGTGTGATGTTTAAGTTTGTTGTTTATAAAATTATAGAAGGCATGGGTGGATTTTGTGTGCAGAAGGTTTTCCTCTTGCTTGATGTGATAATTGGTGCATTCAGTCTTTATTTGTTGGCATAAGTTTTTGTAGCAGCTTTTAAAGTTAGTTACGTAGTTAGTTTTGTTTTTTCGCCAAAGAGATTTTTTTTCTGGATTGTAGCTTCCTTGTTGTTATTGGTAATTAGTGGTACATAAAGTTTAATGATTCTTTTGATTTCACGCAAGAAAATGTTGTGATGGTCATCAGCAGTATTACAGCCAGTGAATAGAATTTGCCAATCAAGAGATGAGAGTTCATTGTCTATGAGATCATAGTTGGCTTTTTTAAAGTTATAACTGGGAATCCCATCTATATAAATAAAAATGTAATGGTTGTTTTTTCAAAATCGCTAATCTCCTAAAGTTCTTCACCGATTGCTTTGAAATTTTGACACAACGTTGCATTCAAATACGCGAATGTTTTTATATACGTATATTACATAGATGTCACACCTGTGACAGGTAAAAACATGATTTTCTGTAAAAACATGCTTTTTTGAAAACCAGCGCCATCTGATGGACGTAAAAGCAACATATGCTATACTAAATATTTCATGATTCCATTTCAATGTTTCCGATTGCATTGTTATATTGAATTTTCATAGATCTCGATTTATTTTCATTTTGATTTAATTATTTCGTGTGACATTGCGTTGTGTCGTTTACCATAGTGTCCATTTAGTGAGCATAGTATATTCAGAACAGTTCGGCCTCTCTCCAGCTTCGTCCCGATGGTCCCTTTATATGTGTGGCTGGGCTGCGGCTGCACCCTTTCCCCTTTCCGCCCTCCAGAGGAGGCGGAGCGTCTCCTCAGCCCGGCCGGCCGCGTGCGCTCTCCACCCCCCCTCACAGCAAGCCAGCTACAGCCTCGCCAAGGCGGCGCCGACGGGGCGGCGGAAGCGGTGTCAGCCCAAGGTGCAGCAGGACTGGGGCGGCCCCTGGGTGCCCCGTGAGGTGGCACACGGAGGACTTCTCCTCCTCCGAGATCCTGGATGTCTCACTCTCCCGGACCACCGACTTGGGGGAGCCCAAGCGCAGCTCCTCCGAGGAAATGCTCAACAACTTCCACGAGGCTGACAGCCTCGGCGCCGTCTCCCCCAACCAGCCTCGCCCGGCCCAGCAGCCCCGAGTCCTGACCAATGGCAGCACCCACCCACCGCCCCACTACGCCCAGACTGGGTCATAGCAACGCATGGCTGGGAACAGCTAGTCATTATAATGATTTTTGTGAGGACGTATGTTGAGACAAAAGTCAATCATGCTGTGGTCGCTGTTGGAAATGAGTTCATTTATTTGTAGTCCATAAATTGAGTTTAAATGGTTGCAGAAGATGAGATCAAGGCAGTTGTTGAGTCCAGTGTTGTTAGTTACTAGTTAATCAAGTCCCAGATTAGTTACAGCATTGTACAGGTTTGCATGTATGGGTTCAGTTGTACATTCGTTTAGGGTCCAATTAATAAGTGGTAGATTGAGGTCACCAAGAAAGATCATAGGGTGTGGGCGGGAAGCTGCCCATGTTAGTAGTGAAGTTAACATTCGCAAGTTCGATGTCATAATCTGGGGCTCTGTAACATAGTAAAAATCGAAATGTGGTATTCATGGACAGGTCATAGACGATGGTCTCAGGCAGAGCAAGCTCCTGTGTAACTTGAATATTTTTAAGATAGAAAAAGGGACTGATTGATTTCTCCAGAGGAGTATATCTTTTTTCAAAAACCTAAACCAAAATGCCTTAGAAGCAGAAGTTATCCAATAAATAGTGATCCGGCAATGTTACATAGTTATATACTGTATATAGGTTCAGTCTAATATAAGCCCCACAACATGAGCTATGCTGAATAGGAAGTGCACCAGTTACAGGGTTGTAGAGTTCTTGGTGCTCTCTGAGCTTCACTCCCCACTCCCCACTCTGAAGATGTTACTGTCAGAGTTTGTTGCAGAAATCAAATCCAGAAAGCACACAAAAGTAACTGATTCAGCAGGATTCATTAACTTCTCTTTATATATAATATAACTAGGGGTGGGTTGCTACTGGCATTACTGCCAGTTCGCTTCTTTTTTTTTTTTAATTTTTATTTTATTAAAGGTTGTAAAAAAGGCAAGGTTTACAAAATATAAAAAAAGAAATAGAATTCATTACATGTTTACAACGCAAATGGCAAAAATTCATACATATATATAGCAATAGCAATAGCAATAGCAATAGCANGTTTATTTTCATTTTGATTTAATTATTTTGTGTTACATTGCATTGGAATTGAGCTGTGTCATTTACCACAACATTCATTTAGTGAGTATAATATATTCGGAACAGTTCGGCCTCTCTCCAGCTTCATCCCAATGGTCCCTTTATATGTGTGGCTGGGCTGCGGCCGCACCCTTTCCCCTTCCCGCCCCTCCTCTGACAAGCTTTGGCCATTTCTGCCAAGGGGAGCCGAAGCCCTTTGGCCTCCCCCTCCCATCTCTCCCCCCCCCGCCGGGCCTT